AGGCAATTTCCAAGGCAATGGCGTTTGAAGCAGACGATTTTTGCTCGCAGCGGAGATGGGCTTTTCGGGTTGGCCGGAGCGGGTCACGTGAATGGTGTGACGTCGCCGCGTCGTCTGCTGCATGATGCCGCTCAGGCAATTTTTTAAAAAAAGTTACGTTCTTGTATGGCACAAACCTTATCGCATATTATTCTAAAATGTTTCATTATTATGTCAAAAATGATTTCCATTCCGCACATCCCCACAAAACTGAAGAAACAACGATTTTCTCACCTTCTCCATGCATTTCTGACCGCAGTTGGAACCTTCGGGCGTTCGCCGCTAGTCGCCGAGAGACGGCGTTCTAGATTGCGCTACTCTGCTCCGAAGGAGCTATATAGTGCTCTACTTAGTTCGACCTACTTCCCCTCCTTCGTTTCCCGAGAATGTCGAGCAGAAAAGCTCGAATGGCAGGCACTTACCAGCCCTATTTCTCACAGTAAAAGATAACACACAGAGGGTGCGCAGCATGCATCAGAAAAAGTAAGTGGAAACTTTCAAGAGGGGCCAGAAAACGTCGAATGCAAAACCGCAAAACATAGGTAGAGAATCGCGCTGAGCGGGTTTTCACAGTTCAAGAGAGTGGCAGAAAATGTCTAGCTGATAGCGGGCGCGAGAGTCGCACCAGCCGCATTAGCATCAGCAACATAGCGGCAGCCGAAGGGCGTTTTTTGGAAAGGTGTAGAGGAAAAATAAAAAGTAAAATAAAAATAAAAGCGCTCTTGTGTATTGTGGACACAAAAATATGCCTGGTGCGAAAAAGTAATTAGGTAATTTAATTACAATTACCGTCGTTGGAGTAATTCATTACATTACTAAATTACCCGCTACAAAAAGTAATGAATTACATTACTAATTACTGGAACAAGTAATTAAATTACTGTAATTTCATTACAGTAATTACATTACTGCCAGCTCTGGGAATATCCGCGGGTGGGGTTTAAATGTTTATATTTCACAAAGGAAGCTAGCTGCGGCGTTCGCCTATAGCAGAATGCTTCTTTCAAGAACCTGGGTTTAAGATACATTTTTTACTTAACTAGAAAAAAAATTACCCGGACCATCTTTGCACGATCTGACGTAAAAGTACTTTATTGTTTGTGGGTAAATCTTGCCCTTTCCTTTTTTGCTTGTGTGGTATTTAGTTGATTGGCAGAAGGAGACACACCAAAATGTAAATTTTAATTTTTGTTAGGTTTTATATGTACGTATTTGCGAGCCCGTGTTTGCTTTGTATTTAGTGCATATAAACGTTAAACGTAACTTTGCTTCACATTTTGTATGAAAATTAAAGGTAAAAAACAGATACATGACTGCAATTACGACGGTGGGGAATACGTTTCTTTGGGTAGGGCATTGGTTAGGCTTGCTTGTTTTTTAGGACTTCCAATGGGTAGCGCGTACTTTCAAAGTGTCAGCGTGGAGGACAGACTCCGGTACCTTCAGAAATGTACTCATTTTGGATGGACACGCCTTCCTGGTCGCTTGGATAAGAAGAATGAGCATTTTTTGCTAAAAAAAGCAACAAACCTGTGGCAGTTATAATGGCGCATCTTCACGACTAGTTATCGAGCCGCCTGGCCCATATACCTGAGAGCGAAACTACAAGCCCGTAAACGCTTTCAACCACATTGTGAACGGCTTCGGCTGGGCACCGCGATGGGCATCCCTCTCTCCGGGAAACGAAGATCCGAGCCGACCATCCGCCCAGGGGTGGAAGAGTTGGGTGGTTTTTTTTCTGGTAGAAGATCTTCCGAAAGTTTTTTCTTAAAGCTTCCTTTCTGTCACGTGGACGTTTCTAATGCTTAGACTTGCTTGCTTCGGAATTCAAAGTTTCTTTCCAGCTCTGTTTCACCTTGCATCTCTACGTACCTTAACGCTACGGTTGGCACTTATTGTTGTACAGAAATAATTGGTCAAGGCGCTACCAAGCAGAATTATCTGCACCATCTAACGCCCGCACATCGAAGTAGGCGAGCTCCTTTTATTCAACGCCGCCGTCAAGCGATCCCCCAATCTCGGCAGTGTCCATGGCGCCCTCGTCTCGAGAAAATCGAAAGGACTTCAGTTGGGACATTTTGTTCGTTTCTATGCGCATCGGTCACTCAAAAGTACGACACTGGGGCACTTCTAGCGCGTAGCTCTGAAGCAATTGCTCGCTCGTGAACCAAATGTCTTTGAGTACCTAATCGAAAACAGGGTATACATTGGAGAACTGGAAATTTTCTCTCCCCTTCCCTTAGCAAAAAGAGACCGTACTTAAACGAAGTTGAAATATATTGAATACGAGTATTCGTTTTGTATTTATTCTGTATTATTTTGGCCGCACTCGAAATACGCGCGTAAGGTATTCGAAATACATTATAAATATGAATAAAAAAATATTTTCGATATACCAAAAACATTATCCCTTCACACTCAAGATGCCATTTGTGCATTAAAAACCGGTTACACAACCTTTTTTTTTATTTTTGATTTTGTCAGCAAATGGTGTCCTGTGGTATTTGAGGGCACTACTAAATACATCTCACAAAGCTACATTAGAAACGAACACAAACACAAACACCATGACGCACTGAACAGCTCATTCACAGTCCTGTTGATTGCTCTAGAGCTTTATATACCCTACATATTGAAGGTAATCATAAGTTCGGTGACCACCTCTGCACTTATTAAGGTTCCAAGTATTCGATCTTCTCCTCGGGAGTCTGTCAAACGGGAAACAGTGTTTTGAAGTTCGTGGACGATATCTCTTACTAAAAAGCATTGGTACAACTAATAACAATTCGGCGCAGTCCCTAAAACAATATCCACACAAACGGCTCATAAAATACATGTTATTGCTTCTCTGCGTAGCACCACTCAGGACGAAGCGAATCAAGGCAGTTTCTTCACTTTAAGATGCTGTAAACGACTTTATTTTCGTGAGGACCTAATTCTCTCAAAGTTCGCGAATCGCCTACAATTCCGAAAAATGGGTCCTGTGAACAATTCCGGCAAAATGCAAAAACATTAAAATCTAGACATGAGGAAGATACATAGAAAGGGGGGACGGAAATCTATATTGCGATCCCAGCGCGTCGCGAAAATTAGAATTTGCGATTTATTCCAAAACTCCACTTTGACCTAAATCGCTAAATATTGAGCCCGCGAAAAATAAGTCTATTACAGTAGTTATTTTCCCTTTCCTTTTTAGTAGTAAACTATTTAATATGGTAGTTAATGTCACTATATTAGAGTCATTATTCACATCACGTACAATGGTGAGTATACACGTTCAGTGAATTAACATTGTGCTAACAAAACCACGCCAAACGTACCTGTTCACAGCACCTGCTGAAGCTTTCCAGCATCAGCAAATGTTGTGGTTGTAGTTCCCGAACCCCGTTTGTGATTGGTGTGCAAGGAACTGATCAGGTGTGCTCTTGATAGAAAAAAGGAAACAATAACATAAACTGGGCTGATTTATCAGTGCGTTGCTGCGCAATTCAGTTGACAAACTAATCAAATGTTATATTTAGGCGCTTCAGTGTACACCATATCTGCTTGAAGTGAACTTCTTGAAGGGGAGCTTTTCAATATTTTAGTAGTGTAAGTCAAATTACCAAAGTATTGCGGTCAAAAGGTACTTAGAGTATAACACAACAGTATTTACGATTTTCAGGTATTTTAAGAGTATTCTGCACGTATTTTTGATTGCTCCATTTTTTTAGGGTTGGAGTATATTTTGCATGAATTAAATAAATATTTCAAGAAATATATGTGAAAGGAATTTTGTTCCTATTAATTTAGTATTTACATATTTCAAAACGCATGAAGGGAACTTCAAATGTAGTTTAAGTAAAAATATTTTAAAATGATTTTTAGAAGTATATGTTTGTACTAAGTAAAAAAAAAAAGAAGTTTATATTTTCGGTCTATTTTTCGTGTACTTACAATTATGAACTGTATTTCAAATGCACTAAAATTAGCATGTGGTATATTTCAAACGTATTAGTTTTCGCTAAGGGTTGCCATGGCGCCCAGGAGTTGCGCGTATGGCAAACCAAAATAAATAAATAAACAAAACTGATAACCCACGTCGGAGTTTTTGATGGATGATTGCTTGGTAAACTCAAAGAAACACGGGATGCCATTCCGAACGAGAGTGGAGACGCACCTTCGTTCTAAAAATAAGTTATGAACGCGAAAGAAATGCTTTGTGAACTCAGTTTGCATCACCGTAGCGCAATGAAGCAAGCAAGGATCTCGCGTTCTTGCTCGGAGGTATGTTCGCGCTTGCTCGTACCACATCCACGCAATTTGATTTATGCAGTCACGCTCCGTTGTAGCCTTACATGTTTCACCTAGAGTATCCGGATATAGTTCATTTCACCTCCTTCACACCCTATGTTATCGGAATCTTACTTCTATGATCGCAGCGAAGAGCGACTTGCGGTGGTAATGCTTCGCCCCCCCCCCCCCCCCCCCCCCCCCCCCCCCATAGGTGAGAAGTCTATGTTTACGCATTGTAACATAAATATTTGTAGTGGTCAAGAAGCCGAGCAAGGGGTGTATATAAATGTTTCTGTTTCGACGCCTCTGAGTTTGTTCAGTCCCCGTCGGTGATCCAATATAAACAAAAACCCAAAGACGAAGAGCCGTATGGAGTCTGTACGTAAAAATAAATTCCCCGATTAAGATATATGAAAACTGAAGAAAGTTACTTTTGAGTGGCTGTTGTGTTCTCTGAATCTTTTTTGAAAATGTTGACACGACACGAACGTAATTAATGTTGGCTTGTTTAACATCATAATTACATACTTCTGTAGTTTGCCGATGAGCGATTTATGTATGTCCTTAACATGACAGTCTTTTTTGCGCTTCAAATCTTCATTCGAAAGATGACGTCTGATGCTTGCAAAAGGACTGCGTGAATGGCAAATATTTTTAATTTTTTATTCCCATTCTTTTATTTTCAGGAGGCACATGACCCTGGTGTGTCAGGGCAATCTCAAGATTTTTCCCTTTGACAATCCAAAATGCCCTTTCGCCGTTGAAAGCAGTAAGTACCCTTGAATGAACTTATACTTCTCTGGTGAAAGTGAAAAAAAGTATAGAATAAAGTTTAAATATATATATATATATATATATATATATATATAATTTTTGGGAGCATTTAATACACGCTAATTTCTGGGAAAGAAAATAAAACGGTGCCTTTTTGTTCCCAGCTACTAGCTGCAACCTATTTCGAAAAGTAAATAAAAACGAAGTAGGATACAAATTTAATTTAAAGTATACTGTGAGAATATTTGCCTAAATAGTGACGCGGTGTCCATAAAGTGATTTCGCATCTCCATTCCGACATACTTTGGATTAAGGGCAACTCCAGAGGAGCCCAGGCGAACAGACGGCGTATGCATTCTGAGTTAGTGGATTCAAAACACAGCCGAAGGTCTCGCAATCTGACAGAGGCTGGTTGCAAATACACACTTTATTTACAATTTCAGTTACAGAATATAAATCCGAGGCGGCCTTTATAAATCCCAAGCTGTCCGCCAGCATCGCACTTTTTGCTGTAAAAAAGTGGTACTGAAACCTGATGTTTTGTGAAATTTTTTCCTGCGCTCCGTTTCTCTACATATAGGATCTAATGTCACAAAGGCTGCTATGAGTTGTTTAACGAACAAATCGTCACAGTGCAGGCAAGCTGGTGGAAGTTTAACATCTTTGTAAAGCTGAGACTGGGAAAGGAAAAGAAAAACAAAAAGAAAGACAGAAAAAAACAGGCAACGTCTCAAACTCCGCTGCCGAATTTATTTTGTACACGCCTCATATACCACATCTTCAACGCCGTCAGCACAATCACCAGAAGGAACAAAACCTCACAAAAGGAGGACACAATAAAACAAAAAGATACAAAATAAACACACACACAGTTTTAATAAAAACGGGGGTAAACCTTCTTTTATCTCCCCTGACCTCGGCTACGAGACATTTACACAAAGGGTCACAGTTCAACGGAACGGCCACCTTCTCCTCAGCGTACGCTAGAACCGAATACAAAGGAACGACCTTGCCCTCTGTGAACGCACCAAAATGAATATCACTTTGGTTTCTTTAACAAACCACGCAGCCTAATGATGCTCGCATAGAATTGCTAACGCTTCAGAACTGCCTACTCAAATCCGCGTCCTTTATAACCACCTATTACCTGCCTTTAAAAAATGCACATAATATAATTAAAATTGTAGAAATTCCTCGAAGTTGAAAACGATGTTTCTCACATTCTGCTTCTGTTCGACCTCGACCTGTGACCTGCCTCCTCGACCTGTGACCTGCATAACATACACCTCGCATTACCATACACCTGAATACCATACACCTGCGTTACCATACACCTCGACCTGTGACCTGCATACTTAAATTCTCAGTCCGAAGGGATCTCATCAACCAAAAATTTCTCACACGCAACCGGCCTTTCGCGATGTTATTTTTCGGCATTATTTCTTTCCTGATTCAAAAGGCATGAGTTTGCATAACTTGAAGTTGGACGTGAATAGTCCCCGCGCCAAACTTATTCGCAGGTGCTTTTTTTTATGAGAAATATTATGAACATATTGGATAGGAGCTCGTCGGCTCCTCACACTTGGCTCATCCTGCTTAGTTCTTTGTTGAAAGAAATGTTGTCGTTTTAGAAAAGTTTCGTCATATTCCGCGCCTTCCAATCATCCCCATTGCCTTTTAACACTTGACTAAGATTTTCGGTACAATAACTTTTCAGCGCATGACCAATCAGTGATTTGGCAAGTCCCACTTTAAGAATCTTAGTGATAACTTTCTTTAGGAAGCACCGGTTTAGCCATTTTCTTACCATAATCCCAACATAAACAATTTTTCTCCTGAATGCGCATGTCCCAAATCTGCAACACGTTATCCTCTGGTTTTTCTACTGTGAACTGCAGCTCCCGTGCCGTTGACCTTATCAGCCTCTCAAGATTGTCTGACTTTCCATATTTAAGCTTGCCGATAAAAATATCATCAACATATCTTCTGATGAAGGCAACGTCCGGCGTCAACTCAATCCTCTTGTCAAACAACTAACTATCCATACTGCAGAGGGAAGTTTCGATTTCGCAGCTAACAAAGATGCGTGAGTCGAGCCTATGCAGACATATTTTTTATGTATTTTCGATTATCGTGTTCTATAACTGTTCTTATTAAACAGAGATCCATCACGGAAAGGTAGCCATCCACTAGCACGCCCGATTCTGCTCGATACTTTTCCAAATTTAACTCTAACACCTCCTTCACTGCGCTCATGTCATTTCTTTTTCTAGAGAATAGTATAAAACATGTATATCCATGGAGAACACCGAGCCTTTTCTCTCATGGTTGCTTTCCATGATTGGAATAAGATATTTTATAGTTTTCAACGATAGGTATTTATCAAGATACACCCGACCTAACCAATGCTGTTGAAATCTCGACATAATACACACATACAGGTATTGCTAAAGACGAGGACAAGTTGAAGACAGACACACGGACAAGCGGACAAGCGTCTTTAGTGCTACCTTCATTTGTGTAATTTGTGCAACTAGCAAGTCATATGATCTTATTACTTAGACACAACATTTCGCTACGTTCCGTTTTCGTTTACAACCACCCTAAGGGGCATCTCCACTTTATGGTCCTTTAGAAACAGACTACAAAACTTGCAGGTGGTACACATTGCCCCAAACAAAGTCTACTAAATCTGTCGCCGAGTAAATAAGACAACCAACCATTGAAAGGCATCCAACATTGCTCACAGGACGACATATTCCCAGTGTGAAGCAGGGGTGGTCTACCACATTACTATATCGTCAGGAAAGTGTTTCATGGGCTCATCGGGCCCATGCATGAATGGTTGAACCAGAGAGCATGCAGCGGCGGTGAAGAGCAGATGAGCAGGACTCCTGTCAATTCAGCCAACTGCATGACTCGGGAGTGTAGTTCAGCCTCTACCAGCTTGAGTCACTAAATGCTTGAGGCACTAGCTATCGAAGAAAATAAAGACGACTGTCAGCAGTCTTTGACTCAGGGTTCACAACATAAAAAGTCAATTTCGAGAATGTGCGGCGACAGAGTGACTCATAGTGAAAGCCTTTAAGCAAGGATTTTTTATACACTGTATTACTTACAATGTGTGGATGCCCACTGACTCGTAGTGGAAGTGCATGGTGATGTGCGGAGGCCAGTGACGCGTGTGCGAACGTTGTTGTGTTTTTTTTTACAGTTTCTTATTTCAGTTATTATGTCTTGCTTCTTTTTCCGCGATGTGTTTCATGGCGTACTCAACGTGCGTGAAAATTGTATTCAATTTATCAAAACTCGTATACATGTAGTTGTCAAGTGAATGAGAAGGAATACTTGGCCGATGGATAGGGAAGATGAAAAATTAAAGAGTAATTAATAGTCAGATTTGTCTGTGTCTTGCCCTGTTATTTTGTGTAATCGTTTAGTCTTCAAGCTGTCTTCCCACCATCGGGGACTAAATTTTGAATGGTACACGCGAGCTTTATTCATGACATGACTGAAGAGGTGTATGAAATAGGAGGTTCTGAAATGCCATTCCTAAAGAGACATAAATTACATACTTTGAATGCACTAGCTACGACTTAACATACATAATGTCTAAAAGCTGTAGCACTATCTAAAAGGAGTCCAAAATCTCTCTCGAGTGGCACGTACATCACTTGTGATATACGAATATAATAGTTGGTCAAAAAACCGTGGGGTCTTTACAAATGCATCTTATTTATTTTTTCAGGTCAAGCGGCAGGTTTAACTGGTTACAGCACTGTGTAATACGTTTTACTTCATTTCGTAAGATGTCAGAGTCTTTTAGACTATGAAGGCTTTTGAACAAGTTTATGTCATGCGTAAAAAATTGCATTTAGAAAGTTATGAAACGCGGCTCTATATTATTTGTAAAAAATAAAAAAATAAATAAAAAAGAGCGCCAAGAATCGATCCTTGGGGAGACAATATATAGATATATTTTTTTAATTGGGGGTTAACTACTTTTGACAACGGGAACAGAAAATCAAATTGACAAATAACTCTCAAACCATTCGCAAAAGTTACCGACCATCTCCGAATGAATCTGATGTAGGCCATAACAATTCTGGACCAACTTTGTGAAATCCTATTGCCATATGAAAAAAAAAAATATTGAATATACTTTTCTTCTAGCCATTACAAATGGAGCAGAATTTTCTAAGAACGTTCACCAATTGGTCTCAATTGACGGAAATGAAACACCTTTCGATTTCCTACACAAATTCAGAAAACCGTCGAAAAAACACAAAGGAGAATAACTAGTTGTAAATTTAAAACTATACAGGCATTTCCACTCTTTAAAATCGTGAGAATCACAATTTTTTGTTTCAAAACAAAAACAAAAGTTTCTGAACGGAGTCAATATTTAAAAATTCATTTCAAAATAGTTTTACATCATTAATGTTGACGCTGGTTAAGGGCAATTGAAGTACAGCGAAAAAAAAAAAGCATATGAGCTAAGCGTGCACGGGCTTCCTGAAATCCCGGACGTAAAACCACGAGAAGCCGCGCAATCGAAGGGAGAATAGGGTTTGTCTTTTATGTATATCATCGGGTGCGTGGCCGAGAGGTAACGCACCTTACTTGCACGCAGAGTCCCCAGGTCCGATTCCTGAATCCGCGCAACTGTTTGAGCTGTAATATTAGTTTCTGCAGTGGTCCGAAAAGCTTCTTATTTAATAATATTATAATAATAAATCTTTATTTTTTCGTGCCCAGAAACAACTTTACTGTCTATAATGCGGTGAACAGAAAGCAAACTAAAACACAGTACTGTATCAAAAATTAAAGAAAACACGTTAAAATAAGTATATAAAAAGATATAACAGTAACAGAAAAGGCTACACAAAACCCGCCTTATAATAGGTAATTGGAAGACATCCACTTTCGCACATGTAAACTGGTAAGAACAAAGAAAAACGTCAAGATGAGCCTTATTAAAGGATAATTGAATCCTCGATAAAAGAGACACAGAAGACATCCAAGATGGGCAAAAAGTTTGCACACTCCTGCTGACCCTTGACGGAGCATGAAAATCTAAAAACGCAAAAAATCATTTGAATTCACTTCCCCGTGCGTAGCTTCGCGAAAAAAATATAAACTATCTGTATTGCCTCCGCACGACAAGCTTGTGCAACGGAAATCAAACAAGTAACGTTTCATAATCGTAAAATATATTTTCTTACAATTAATGGTCGTACACAATTCTAGTAATTCGGTTTAGCATATTTTTTATTGCAACTGCCTGTTGTAAAGTTAATAAATTCCAAATGAATGAGTCAAATTCTTATCTTGACCTCACTAATGTGCTGAACAATTGTAGTAGTCAATGGGGTTTAGAAAACTGGCGACACAATCATGAAACCATTCCCGGTAATCTTAGTGCTGCATTAATGGTTAAAGATACGTGATTATTAAAGAACTGTGAACTATCTATGGATACACCCAGATGCATCATAAGAGAAACTCGAGGAACCCAGATTATATGAAAAATACAGTACGTCGCGCTTTCTGGATAGCACAATGGATTTAGTTTTATTGAGGTTAAGTGACAAGCGATTTTGGCCGACCATTAAGAAACACGTCCTATGTCTGCCTGGAGAAGGGAGCAATCCGACAATGACTTCATACTTATGAAGAAGTTTAAGATCATCAGAAAACAAAATACTTTCTGAATCGGTAATACTGGAAGAAGATAATTTATAAACAAAATGAACTAAAGTTGTCCCAGGATGGATCGCTGGGGTACAGTAGAACTCGAGATAAACTCATCGGAATAGCTATTAGAAATGTAAATAGAGTTCCGACTACCGATTAGATAACTGGAAAACGACCAGCAAAGTTACAGGCTGAAACCATGCAAGGCAAGCTTCTGTAGCAGTAAATTATAACATTCATAATTGACGCTTTTGACGTGTCAAAATAGACCGCATCTACTTGTCCCCTACTTGACACCACTGGGGCAGAGTAACTTGAAAACGAGCATAAATTTGACTCAACAGAACTCCCATTTCAAAAAACCGTGTGCTGATATCATTCGGCTGAGAAAGAAGTAAACACGCTTAAAAATTAATGAAAAAATATTTTGCAAAACTACATAGGAATAACACAGGACGTACTTATTAAACAATGTAGAATCACGGTTCTTAGCAATAGAAACAACTACAAAGAGTTTCCAGGGCCTGGGATAACGTTCTTGAGCAAGAGACAAGTTACACATGTGCATCGAAACAGGTGCAAGCAAAGGACAGCAGCCTTTTATAAAAAAAACAAAACAAAGCAACATAGGTGTTTCATCAAAACCGCGCGACAATTTGGGTTTCAGTTCTTTCATGACCTCTACTATTTCATCTTCACCAACAGTAAACGAATACAGAAAAGTGGTACAGTCTAGATTAGTAAAACCAAAAGAAGTAGTCCTAAGAGGAGAAAAACATGAACTGAAAAAGTCGGCAAAGGTGTTCGCTATTTTGACCGTGAAACAATGGTACCCATCATTATCTCGAACACAAATACGTTCCTTATTTCCACGCAAGTGTTGCTTAACAAAGCGCCAAAAGTATTTCGGATTTTTTCTCAGACTTTCCTGAATGCTACCAAGTGCTAACAGTTATCTTTATACAGTTTCTTAACGAGACAACGATTAATACTAAACTTTTGATGCCATAAACACTTCTCTGTCTTTTTGTATAAGCGATGATAGTGCGGTTTCCTTCGTAATACGATTTTTAAATCCCTTGAAAACCAACTAGAATAACGGGAGTTGCGTGTCAACCGTTTAGAAACGAAAGCACCACGGCTTCTTTAACTATCGTCGTAAAGTTTACCGCAGGTGAGTCCACTATGTCATCAGTTAAGTCAATTTACCAGCCTTAGTTCTCTAGAAATTTATACAAGCCGAGATAATATCCTTGAGAATAAGAATACCTCACAATACTACTTTTCACACGTGGCCTATATAATGAGCAGAACTTTGTTTTGAATGGTGGATCATAAACATCAGCGGGTACGAATGGATTTGCAGCTGATACAGCCGGCTCAAGCGATGCATTAGATAAGAAAATATCTCTAATGTTTCCACAATAATTTTGAATGGCGTTGTATTGATGAACATCAGAAACAATTTATAAACGAAGGTAACCAGGCGGCTTTTCTAGAAGTCACGCCAGTTTCGCAAGGAATGCCAGTGCCACTGTCAATTCCAGGCAAGTTCAAATCGCCTAGAATCTGAAAAAAAACAAAAACAACAACAACAACAGGAAGGTCGTACTTCTCTTGTAGTGTTTCACAATGTTCGATGAATTGTAGAGCGCTAAAAAGAAAAGGAAAACAGTAATTTTCGATTTAATAGTTCAAAATATCGCTTGCCTGTAGTTCAACCCAAACACACTCAGCAGAGGATTCGAGATCTTTCCTTCGGTGGCAGGAAACTAAAGAATTTACAGCAATCAGGACATTACCCTCGAGTTACAAAACCCGTGTTAGCATAGTCTCTGTCTTGACGAAACACCGTAAAATTAGGAGGAAAATAGCTATTAACAAGAATACCGGGATAAGCCAAGCCTCAATTAAACATATATTAAATGGGCTTAACAAAAAAGAATGTTCGAAGGTGAAACATTCTAGTTTGTCGAATGTTCGCCAAGCCCGTACGTCTACAAAAGGTGCTCCGTGTGGCTCTACGTAGTCAGTTTTTTGTGAGCGCTTGATCCTCCCACTGCGCCGACATCGACACTCGCCTACGACTCCTGGTGTTACAATTATTATTTTTTTTTGGGGGGGGGGGGGGCACACGTTTTGTTTCCGCTAAATGTTTAGTTTTCCAGTTATTCACCGCCTCATCATTTGTCATTCATGACAATATATTGGCTCCCTACGTTACTGATGTAAGTGGCCAAGTCGCGATCACCGACAAAATGAGAACGGGACAGCGTCTGGTATTGAACGCCTGGACTCTAGTCCGCACTTGTTGCCGTTCCTCGTGCTCTGGCATCGCATGAACACTCGATGCTCACGAAAAGTCGAAGCATCATCGAAGTTTTGCAAGGTCGTCCTTGGACAACTGAAACTCCTCCCTTTACGCTCTTATTCTGGTAGTGACTGTAGGCCACAGCAGCCGTTTATCACGTGATCATTTTGCTACACTACATATTTAGGCGGACGGGTCTTTGTGGGGCAAGTTGAATACAAGTGAAGGCGATCACGACGGTAGCGAACTGTCAAGAGCCATGAAGGTTGGCGCAGCGACGTGAACGGCCTCGTTCGTTTGCAGTGTCATACGAGGAGAGCCAGCTGAAGATCGACTGGACAGACCCGTCCATCAGCACGGCCACCTCGCTGCGCGCACACAATGCCTACCTGGCCAAGAACGAGACCGGCTACTGCGACACCAGGCACACCTGGAGAGGTAGGTCATGGCCGTAAGAACGACATCACACCTGCATCAAAATATAAGCTATCTGAATTTAGAATGATAGGCTTTTTTTTAAAGAAAGATTATTATGGCTGTTAACAGTCCTCCTTGGTGGACAGAGCATTTCTGTATACAAGGACAGATAATCTTTAATCCTTGGCATCACAGCTTGTAGAAAACGACTTTCGGAAGGTCTTCCAGTTAAATATATTTTATTTACTCCTCAATACTGGTTTTCTCTAGATAGCAAAAGCATTTATATACTGCTCCGCGTACTGGCCGGTCGCGTATTTTTCTTTAGTTACGATTCAAATTGTGCACGGATTTCATATGAAGTGATGACCACCTTCATTCTGAAGTTTTGATGCTGACACAACAAGGTTAGATTGAACGTTAGACAAACACAAAGAGAAGTTTGTTTTTGTTATTTTTAACTTATTAAAAACACCATTAAAACAATATTTATTAAAAATCACCAATTGATGATGGCTTTTGATTTTGAAAAATGGTTTGAGATATATTGTTTTTTTAATGAAGTCTCAAGCACCCCGAATTAACATCACCTATCAGTAAGGACATTTCAGACGAAACGTGTTGAGATAAAAAAATAATGAAATGGAGACTCGGGATTCCAGAACGCTGTGTGCAAAATAATAAATATTATTTACAAAAATAGAATCCAGAACCATGGGAGGCACAGCGAGCTATGTACAAGTCCACATAAAGTCAGTCAGAGAGGTTTCTTGGGCATGGCAGCAGCTTTCAGCCTGGATGTTGATTCTTCAGGGCGATGACACCGAGCAGGCGGCAGATCCCCAGCAAGCCTAGTTTCAGCCCCCACAGGGCTTTCGACACCTGTCCGGGGTTAAACTTGGTTGTTTGGTTCACCGGTGTCGCGATGCGTTCGTTCTCGGGCACTGCCTTCGGTCCTCTGCCACGATCGCATCTCTGCGCGCGCTCCCACCGCCTCGTCTCCTTCGTTCAAGTCCCGTTCATATCCTCACACTTGTATTGTTTCATTGGTGTTTTTGACTTTCATCGAGTGACAATTGCTAACTAGTAAGTAAAAAAGCGAAAGCGCTGCGAAGAAGTCTTACTTATTTGGTAAACGCAAGATAAATATATTGAGCAATGTTCACTCAGTTAAAACTTGGCTACAATTAAAGTAATTCACAGGTGAGGCTTTACATTACCAGGACACTATCATGACAGTTTATTTTTACAGAACACAAACAATCATCGTATGTCCTTCGTACTTCTACTTTGTGTAGCGTCTTTTTGCGCTGTTTTGTTATATATAATACAGAATACGTCTATATCTAATTGTTAAAAACCCTTAGGTACTTGTACTACTAAAACCTATACTCATCTGGTATACTGGTTTTTAAGCGATCGCAGAACTATTTCTACATTAAAAAAAACCCGTAACAATGTTGATTTTGTTTGAAATGCACTTAATAAAATAAAAACCTTGAGCAGTGGTTTTTAATTTGAAGTCACAATGTGAAGGGTGCCACGCATTGACAGGGGTACTTATACATCTTTCGTTGAAGTAATACACGAAAGCAGAGGGTTTCCAAATGTCCCATTACTGCTCTTTATGAAATGAACGCTGAGAAACGTTTCCGACGATTATGCGTTGTTGGCTAAGAATGTGATGTGGGGCATATATGTAGTTTTCAACATTCAAAATCGAAAACCCAAGACCAGGATGAAAGCTCTTGGAGTATTCGCCTTTAAATATTTTCTAGAAAATCTGAGCCTGACATTACGAAAATTGTAACACGGATTTCAAAGGGGAGCCTAGCACTAAATAACATAAATTGGAATAGAAATAACAATATTGAGTAGAAGGACTAGAATTACCAACGTGCCTCAACATTTTGTGCCGGATATTCTACGTACTTGTGTGCTCTGCCAAGGGGAAACTTTCGAAGCAATACCTGCCTTGCTAATCCGAGGACCGGAAGCACGTGGGCAGCGGCGTGACTCTAGCATATTTATTTACTGATTTATTTTATTTATTTATTTATTTATTTGTTTGTTTGTTTGTTTGTTTATTTGTTTGTTTGTTTATTTATTTATTTATTTATTTATTTGATTTGATTTACCATTAGGTCCCGAAGGCAGTTCACATGTGGAGAGCAAATTTGAGGTTAAAACAATGTACAGTTATTTACACTAAAAAAAAATGGTAGGTTGACACTATGAAGTGCTTTAAAGTAACAGAAACTTTCAAAATACATGCAGGAGAGATTAAAACGTATATGCGACATTGTGACTATATCATATTTATTTACTTATGACGAATTCAAATGGTCTCTTCTGTTCTCGGGCCGTAATTTAATAGAGTGGTGCTTCTTCTCGCCAGAGTTACTCGCCATATTTTTCAACCGACATCAACTAATGGGCTCAACAGCTCTGTCAATCTCGGAGAAGTGATGGAAGTATGAATTTCGACTTTCGTGATAGGTAAAACGAATGTGTGCGATGTAAACTAGTGTATTATAAAATTTCGACTCTTGAACAAAATAAATGATGGCTCTGACAGGAAATAGCGTTTTGTTTTCCGGCGCATTGAATAAAAAAACACAAACAATCAGCAGCATGTTCATATAAAAGCGATTTTCAGGGAACGGAACGGACGTTAATGTTTGGAAACAGCTCGTTGCCAACGGAACTTACCGTATATACTGGAATATATGTCGAACCAGAATATCGATCGACCCCTTAATTTACAAGTTGAAAAAAGCGAAAAAACGTTTTTATGGCGAGACAATGTAACCTTACCTTGGTAACAGAATTGGCCGAGTATACGGAAGGATGAGGAAACATCCCTTAGCGGAAACTAAGACGCTTGAAATATACCACATTCTAAGTTGAGTCCATTTCAAGTAGAGTTCATAATTGTAAGTACACAAAAGATATACCGAAAATATAGACTTCTTTTTTTTACTTAGCACTAAAATATATTTTTTAAAGTATTTTTAAAATATTTTTATTTAAACTATATCTGAAGTACTGTTCATGCGTTCTGAAGTATGTAAATACGAAATTAGTATGCACAAAATACCTTTCACATAGATTTCTTAAAATATTAATTTATTTCATGCAAAATATACTTCAACCCTAAAAAAATGCAGCGATCAAAATATGTGCACAATACTCTAAAGATGCCTGGAAATCGTAAATACTAGTGTGTTATAATCTAAGTATATTTTCACTTCAATACTTTGGTAGTTTTTTAAACTACCAAACTATGAAAAGCTCGCCTATCATAAGGTCACTTTAAGCAGATGTGGAGTTCACTGAAGTGCCTAAATGCAACATTTGATTAGTTTGTCAATGAGAGTTGTGCAGCACCGCACTTATAATTCAGCCCAGTTTATATTATTGTTTTCTTTTTTCTATCAAGAACAGACCTGATGAGTTTCTTGAGCACCATTCACAAACGAGGTTCGAGAACTACAACCACAACACTTGCAGATGCTGCAAAGATTCAGCAAGTTCTCTGAGTAGATAAGTTTAACGTGGTTCTGTTAGGACAGTATTAGTTCACTGATTGTGTATACTCACCATTGTACGTGGTGTGAGTGGTGACTCTATTATAGTGACGTCAATGACCATATTAAATGGTCAATCAGCAAAGAAAAGCGAAATAACTATTTTTAGGTGAAGAAACTGCCTTGAATCGCTTCGTCCTGATTGGTGTTATGCAGAGAAGCAATAACATTCCTTCTAGGAGCCGTTTTTGTGGATATGATTTTTAACCGACTGCGCCGAAATATTATTAGCTGTACCAATGCTTTTAATAAGAGATATCGTCCACGAACGTCAAAACACTGTTTTCCCGTTGACAGACGCCCGAGGAAAAAAACGAATACTTGGAACCTTAGTAAGGCCAGAGGTGGTCACCGGCCGAATGATTACCTTCAGTATGTAGGCTATATAAGTCTCTGGAACAATCAAAGGGACTGTGATTCAGGTGTTCAGTGCGTCATGGCGTTTGTGTTTGTGTTCGATTCTAATGTGTTGTTGTGTGATATATGTAAGTAGTACCTTTAAATATCACAGGGACACCATTTACAAACAAAATGAAAAAAAAGTTGTGTACCGTTTTTTAATGCGCAAATGGCGTCTTGAGGGGTAATGAATTATATTTTTGGTACATTTAAAATCTTTTCTGATTAATATTTATGATACATTTTGAATACCTTACGCGCGTATTTCGAATGTGGACAGATAATACAGAATTAATACAAAATTAATATGCATATTCAATATATTTCATCTATGTTTCATGTACAGCCTCTTTTTGCTAAGGGACGTCACAATTATTTTATTGCTTCGCACGCAGTAAAACAGGAAGCGCGCGGGCGTTAGTACTTAAATTCTTCAGAATCTTCGTCCGACGACGAGCTCACTAACGCAATTCAAAGGGACGAGGCTGCCCCCTTAAATTGCGCCCTCAAGAGCCCGGGGGCACGAAGGCACGAAGGCCTTCGTACGTATGCACTCTGACGTAACAGGTAGCGATCTGGCGCGCAGTTCCAGAATAAGATTTGCCACCTTCCTTTCTAATTCGGGGTACACCGCAGTCCTTCCATGAAATGAAGTTTCCTTTGCCTTGCTGCACAACGCCAGTTTTTGTCTCTGGCCTCGCCAGTAGCGTATGCTTTTCTCCGATCCAACAAACTCTCGCTGCTCTGCAAGATTCCCGTAGATCTCTGCATAGGCGATTGCCTTCTTCTGGAAGGCTTCTACAGCCGTTCATTATCACTCCGGGCGCAGCAACGGTAGATGTAACAAACCAAGGAGCACAAGTAAAAGTGAGTCGTGACCATCATGACAAGTGGACGAGTGTTAGGCGATTGCAAAGAGAAACAAGATGGCGGCTTCAGCCACCCAGTGTTGCGACTTTATTTTTGCTTTTCCGCTAATGATCGTAGTATGAAACGAGAATCGACTTTTTCAGGTTCATTTTCAAAAATAAA